GGCTGTTGGTTTGTCATAGATGGCCTTTATAAGATTGAGGTAGACACCGTGTATTCTGAGTTTCTGAAGGTTTTTATCATGAACATGCATTGAATGTTATGGAAAGCTTTTTCTGCTTCTATTGAGATGACCATGTGGTTTTGTTTTTTGTCCTGTTGATATGGTATATTAAATTAATTTATTTGTGTATATTAAACCATCCCTGCATTCCTGGAATGAATCACACTTGGCCATGATGTATAATCTTCTTGATGATTTGATGCATTCTAGTTGCCAGTATTTTCCTGAGAATCATTGCATCAATGTTCATTAGGGAGATTGGCCTATAGTTCCCTTTTTTGGTTAGATCTTTCTCTGGTTTTGTTATGAAGGTAATTCTTGCCCTCAGGAATGATTTAGGGAGGATTGCTTCCATTTCAATTTCATTGAAGAGTTAAGGGAATATTGTCATTAAATCTTCTTTAAATTTATCCGTCAGGACCTAGGCTTTACTTTGTTGATAAGTTTTTAATTATGTTTCCTATTTCAGTAGCTGATATTGAATTATTCCAAATTGCTACATCTTCTTGGTTGAGCTATGGTATTTCATATGTTTCTAGAAATCTGTCCATTTCCTCTGTGTTTTCCACTCTATGTGAGTAGAGATTTTCAAAGTAGATATTCATGACCTTTTGACTTTCCATGGGATTTATAGTAATTAACCCCTTTTCAGTCTTTATTGTGTGATTTTGGGTTTTTTCTCTTTCTCTTTGTAAGGTTAGCTAGAAGTTTATCAATTTTGTTTTTTTTTTTCTCAAAAACCAGCTTTTTGATTCATTAATTATTTGTATTTTTTTAGGTTCAATTGCATTGGTTTGTGCTCTAACCTTTACAATTTCCTCTCTTTTATTAATTTGGGTTTAACTTACTCTTCTTTTTTCTAGAAGCTTGAGATGAAGCCTTACATTGTTCATTTATGCTCATTCTGTTTTCTTGATATGAGAATTTATTGCTATGTATTTCCTTCTTAAGACCACTTTCATTGCACCCCACAGATTACATTATGTTGTTTCCTCATTTTCATTGAATTGTAGGTATTGCTTTATTTATTCTTTAATTTGATCTATAGCCTACTGGTTGTTCAAATGCTCTTGTTTAATTTCCATGTATTTATGCAAGTTTGCCATTACTTTGCATTAATTTTCAGTTTCAGTGTGTTATGGTCAGTTATTACACATGAGATAATTTCCATACCTTTGCAATTACTTGAGAATGTTTTATGGATACTATATGGTCTGTTTTGGAGAATGTCCCATGTGCAGCTGAGAAGAATTGTATGCTGATGTGGTAGGGTGGAACCCTCTACTGGGTCCAATTACTCGCAGGTATGATACAGTTCTATTATTTCTTTGCTGATTTTTGTCTAGTTGATCTATCTGCTTGTGACAACAGGCTGTTAAGGTCCCCCGTGTTAATCATGTTCTTGTGTATTTGTTTTTTCATGCCTATTAGTATCTGTTTTATATAGTTGGGTTCTCCTGTATTTGGTGCATATATATTTATAATTGTTAGTTCTTCCTCTTGAATTTTTCCACTAACGAGAATGTAATGACTTTCTTTATGTCTTTTAATCATTTTAGGTTTGAAGTTCACGTTGTATACAAATAGAATATTTACCCCTGCTTTTTTCAAGGTTACTGTTGCATGGAATACTGTTTTCCATCTTTGACTTTTAATTTATGAGTTTCCTTTTGGGTCAATCTTAAAGAAACAAAATCATACTTTCATTTAGTGAATACATACATCACACTAAAAATAATCTTGCTGTTTAACTGTGTAAGAACTGCTATGTCTCTAAAGGTTTGTTAGTATAAAACTTTCAAAATTGCCCAGGTTTATAAGTATTCTTTATGTGGATTATTTGTAGAATTTTTGCAGAAGTATCAATGTAATTGGCTTATCCACTACTTTGATAATTGTGCAAGGATGAATATTTTCATTTTTTAAAAAATCAGCTGCATAACACTCAGAAGGGCTGTTTTATAATTCTTGATCATGGAACTTTACAGGTTTTTAATTGATGATAATTTTAAAATTATATGATTAAACTATTAGAAACTCAGTGATAAACCATTTCACTTGTCTTTTTTTCCTGATTCAAATATGGGTATTTGGACTTTAATTAAAACACACAAGTGCACTAACATGTAAACATGAAAGTAAATGTTTAATTTTAGAAATATCAGTACTCAAGTTACCTAAATGTATTACTCGGAAATTAGTTATATGTTATTTATGTTAGGTTTCTGACAAAATTAATACTCTTATATAGTAGTAATTATTCAAATATAGATGAACAATTGCTAAGAAACTGCTTAGTAGAAATGTGTTATCTAGTGAAGCTACATCATGAAAATTTTTTCAAATTTCACCCAGATATAAAATGATGATGAAAGATGTTTTAGCATCAAAGTCACTAAGAACTTTAACTCATGTTTGATACTGAATTTCAAAATATTTTACATTAGCAACCATAATTTTTGTTTTTCTTATGCAATATTTTCTCTTAGTTTACTAATTCTATTTCAGGGCAGTCACTTGCAGTTTTTATAGTTTTAGATAATCTATAAAGTATTACATTGGCCTTAACTATTATTAACAATCAATTAATGATAATAAAGCATGACATTTTTTATATATTTTCCTTTGGGATCTTGGAACAAAAAGAAATTGCCAAATAGCAGCTCTACATAACATAATATTTAATTGTAACAGCAAACTTTTGTTTAGTAAGTGTGATGCACTATATTACAAGCTTTCAATATTATCTTCATCACAACACTGTGAATTACCAGGATGGTAAAAATCTTGTCAACCCCCTCATAAGGTTGGTGAAAGGAATTGAAACCAAGAAACTAGCTCCAGAGTCTATTTGCCTCTCTGCTACAATGCACTTATTAATATGTCCGATGTGCTGAAATCCTGCACTGAGCATTCACCTCACCCTTCTGCATGCCTTGCCAGCAACACTTTTTGCCAGTCACAAGAACACTGCAAGAGAGATAGGTTGATGGCCTCATTTTATAGATAAGAATGATAATCAACTACCTAATTAAACAATTAAATGTACCCTATACTGATAACTGTGGTAATTAATGTTAGATTATTATATGATTTTAATAATTTTTATATTGTTGCACTTTGAATTTGGGAGTGTTAGGTAAGACTAAGAAATATATTGGGAACTTTGAGAGTCCTTACAGAGTACTTAACCAGCTTTGGGAAAATAGCAAGCAGAAGTAGAGAATACACAACTTAGTGGTTTAATAAGATTTAGATTTAATTAATTTCAAAACTACATGTTCTGACTTAAGGTTACGTTAAAGACAGAGAGAAGTATTTTATGCTTATACCAAACAGTTACTACCAATAGGTAACTCAATGTATAGGCACTATTTATACCTACTAGGCTACTCATTAGTAAATATGATTTTAGTCAATACAGTATATTGACTCAGTTTTTTTTTAAGATTTTGATATCAAAACATTTATGATTAGATATTCTTCATATACTGAAGTACAAATTAAATGTAAAATTACTTTTAGATTAACATATCTTCACTCGCATTCTAATATAATTTGAATATCTCTCTTAGTTACTTTTCTCTTATTACTAAGACAAACCATGCGATTACCCAAATTAAGAAAGGAGAGATTTATTTAGCTGAGAGTTTGTGGAAGTTTCAGTCCACGCTTGGCTAGTACAAAGACAGAGTGACAAATAGCAGAGGGCAACAGTTCATGTCAGGTGCAAGATACAAAATCAACATGAGCAAGATGGAGGAGCATGAGATAAAGATTCTTTCTGTGCCTTATATTGTATATAGTCAATCCAACCAAGGGTGAGTACTCACACCCACAATCCAAGTATTGGGCCATGAATCAGTGACAAACTCTAGAAGACTGCCTCCAGAAAGCACTTCCATTACTGCATGCGGCTCAGAGGGTCATCCATACACAAACTATAAAAATATGCCTTATCAAAAGTGCAATGATTTAGAATTATTCCAGATTCCAGAGTTTTCTTCATCTGAGAATATTTGTATAGATGCCTTAGTCATTTTCTGGTTGCTGTGACATGGTAATCACTGACAAACACTATTTAAAGGGCAGAAGTTGTTTTGGCCCATGTTTTCAGACCATGGTGTCCTGTTTCCAAGGAAAAAAACTGTGTGTTAGAAGGGTCAGGCAGAGGAAAGTTGTTCCCATTATGGAGAACAGGAAGCAGAAAAAGAAAGGAGCTGGAAAGAGTGGTATGCCCTGTAGGTCATGCTGTAGTAATCTGTCTCTTCCAAGGAGACCACACCTACTAGTGACAACACCTGTAGTGTCTTCATCCTCCCATCACATTACAAAAGCCCCACCTCCAAATGCATTAGGTCTTGGGAGGACATTCCAGATCTAAATCATAAAAATAACTTTATTGATTAAGCATTCTTAAGTTACATATCCAAAATCCAAAATGTCTCAGAATCTGAATTATTTTGAGTGTTTTCTTGGTGTTCAATTTTTTTTTTTTATTTAATCACTTTGGATTTCATGTTTTCATATTAGGAACACTCAGTCTTTTGTTGTTGTTACCTCATTCAATTCTAATAAGAGTCCTAAAAATTTGCTATCTTATATATTTTACAAGTGAGAAATTTCAGACTGAAGAAGGTTAAATTATATGTTCAAATTATGCAGGAATAAAAGACATACAAATTCAATCCACATATTTTAAATTTATACTACTTTAATGGTTGAAAAATATATTTTAATTCATTACATGAAAAGAATAATATTTCACTTCCTATGCATCTTTTAAAAGTTACATTTTTAATCACATGTTCTAATAATGTTTCAAAATTAGAGCTGTTCTCTGACAATATTTTTTAGTTTTATTTTATAGAATGATACTAGCAATATGTTGTGCTTAAGATGAATAGCAACACTTTTTTTTCGTTTTTATATATTTTTAGGTCCTGAGGAGGTAGAAATCAAGTGTTCCTTGAATCATATTGCTTGCCTTGGTACCAGCAAATGTGTCCATTTATCCCAGCTGTGTAATGGTGTCTTCGATTGCTCAGATGGTTATGATGAAGGAGCACACTGTCGTGGTAAGTCGATTTGTGGAATAAGACAAGTGAACTATTAACTGTATCACTGTAGTGAATGTTCTGAATGAACCTTTAATCCACCTCTTCTTTCAATCATAGCCGTATCAGTTAGAAAACACGAGTTGTATTGTCTGTCACTCAATATGTGTCATGAAGTTATAATTATTGTGTTTTATTTAACAATATCATTAGAATAAAACACAAAGCTACACTTGATTCTGGATTCTTGAACAATTACATGTTTTACATAAAAGTGTTCTTTTGAGCAAAGGACAATTGGAAAATTGTCACAGTAATTTGATAGCAAAGAAAGATAAAGCTCTTTTGCTTAAACAATTATTAAATAAAGAATAATTGAAGAAACACTTCTACAACCAAATATGTTAGCAAATTTATTAGCCATCAATTCATTCCATAATATTATTTTCATGATATCATGCAATTAACTTTTCTAAAATTTTCTGTCTTTTCAAAGAGCTGCATCTTAGTTCTGTAATGGTTAAAATTTACCTGTATGTAAAATCAGAAAGACAATTTGAACTGGCACATTCTATTAAAACTATGATAGGAATGAGGAAAATGAAACATAAAATCAAAATATAAAATCATGGGGTCAAGAAATGGAACCAGAATCAAGGCTGAGAATCAGACAAGTGAATCAGGCTGCAAGTTGAGTCAGGAAGAGAAGAAGTCTTTATCTCAGGTATTCAGGGAGATTGTAACACAAATGATAGTAAAACCAAGATTCAAAGAGAACCTGTTCTTCATTTTGTTATCCTGTGGGATAATGAGAGATAGAGGATGTTCTAGAAAACTGAAGATAAGTGTCTGACCTCTGCACAGCCATGTGGAAAAATGTTTCCAGTTTTTCAGAAGGAGGAAAATTTGTAACTATGTACTTATTTCAAAGTCAGCTACTACATCTTAAAATTTCTAGTTAACAATGTCCAGGCCAAAACACAACGTTTCTGGCTCTTACTTATCAGGGCTTGGAGGCCCGTGGTTTCTCAACTCCAGGTAAAAATAATACACTGAATTCTCAACCCAAAATGGATGGAATGTTAGAAAAAGAGTAAATACATTAAAGTTGATACCCAAAGGTAAGGATGTTGAAAATCCATAATTAAGTTACTGAAATCAACTGAGACACGGTATCTTTCTCTTCTTCCCAAAGGGATGGCCAAATATTGTGGTTTTAAGGGCATATTCCAGCTGGGAAGTTAAAAGTCTTCACCAATTTTTTTCTTTACTTGAATATCTTCCTTCAACTGTGAAAGGTTCCCATAAAGAGATAAATACACTTTTAGTTTCAATTATTAATACCTGTGCAACAATAATAAGAGATTTTATTTTTATTTAACAGTTTCATAACATGTCTTTGTTATGATTACACACTCAAAAGAATGATAGTAAAAAGAAGTAAATTATTAAATTACATAGTGATAAGATTTTTATACTTTAAGAAATTATGTTGTCTGAAACCTCACTGAACTTCAGATGTAATACATACTTTTACTCTTTTCCAATTTTTTTCAAGCAGATATATGTGACTAAGCTTTTAAAATTATAAAAGCAACACATTGCCAAATATTACTTCTTCAGAGACAATTATACAGATTTTAATATCAAAGATTTTACAGTACTATGAATCATTTGAAAATATATCTGCACTTTTAATTAAAATTTAGATTTTATAATCTCATAAATGGGAGTATATGTTTATAGCAAAACACAGAATTCAAATAAAAATATACTGGGAGACAAAAATAAAATTTTACATTAATCTTCATGTTTGAAAAGATCAGCTTATATGTCAGATTGAAAGAATATATAATTACTTGTGCTCTAGTCTTTTTACTATAATTAGTTTTCTACCTGCTTCAAAATTCAATTTTTTTTGTATAGAAACCTTTTTATTTATTAATTTAATTTCCCTGTAAACAATTTATTGTACTGCTGTGACCTTTTACATATTTCTAGACTTTATCAAATAAGGTGTTTTATAAAAAAGCTAAGAAAATATCATGACCTATGGTGGATTTAGAATTACAAGGACTGTTTTTCACACTTTATATGCTGTTTACCTCAGTAGAGAGTGTTTCACCTGTATTTTTGTCTTTGTGCACTACATATAAGGGTAGGATCAAGGTGAATGAAAAGAAATGTTCACTCCACTCAGTGGTTTTAATAAAAATGTTTGCTTTGAGAAAAGAAACTCTGAGTTGTGTTTACATACTTGGCATGGTAAAGTGCCTTGAATACAATGATAAAAATTAAGCCTCACGGACAACTTTAGACTTGCTACATGAGTAGCAAGATTTGTGTTTGGATGAGAAAAGGTGGTTGGCTGATTGTGGTCAAAATTATATCAAGGCAGATTGTGGTCAAAATTATATCAAGGCAATGAAGTCTACTTCTCACTTTCAACCTTCCTTCCAACTTTTGGTCACACCTGGTGAGAAAAATGTTTTCCTACTTGTTAATTAGGCACTAGTTCTGCCTCATGTCTAGGGAGTTTTCTCATTTACTATAGATACATACGAAAGAAAAACACCAAATAAATCCAAACACTGCATTGCTTCATGGAACACTTCTAAATCACTGGCTGTCTTTTGTTGCATTCTAAGCATATACCCTGTTTTATGTCATTAAACATGAACTCTCAACCATGATGCAAAAATTAATTTTAATAAAGTTCCCAAAGTATACTTGGTAGTATAAATGTGTCCTCTATGAAAATTACTCACAAGAAAAACTTAGTATTTTGGAAGTTTTGTCTTGTCTTAGAGATGCTTTTGTTAACAACTGAATTTTCTGAATATTTTCTGAAAAAATCAACTTCTTTCTAGTGAAAATAGTGAAAATATATCTACTATTAATGATTTCCTATAACACTGATATTTTAATTTACATAATTTGGCTCCATTTGAAAAAAGAAAAATATGTATGTATGTATCATTATATATAGGAATATGCTCATAAAAAATTTTTCAATACGAACTTGCAAAATCACCTCATTGTATTTTTAAAAGTTTTATCTTCTGCACAGTATTTTACAGTGGCAGTATATTTCCCATCTAAATTTACATGAGCAATATAAAACACTCTATATATAAAAAATAAAAAGTAAAATATTTAAAAGGAGTCCCAATCCATGGTATTGCCACAGAAATCCTCACAACAGCTAGAAGTAAACAGAATCAACTATTAGAAAACAGATTCTCTAAGTTACCTCAAAGTGCTAGGTTACAATTTGACAGTCTTAAGAGATGTCATTAACTAGCATTAAGAAGGGTCTAAGGAAGAGGATAAGCTTGAGAAGTAAAATAAAATACATTGAAATATAAAATTAAATCTAAAAATAAAATCTAAAAACAGTCTCTGTGACATTCTGGTCTTGCTCTGCTAAAAGAACGTGGAAAATTTTCAGATCTGTGTAGGAAAGAATTGTAATTTCTGCATAACTAGAAACAAATTGTGTAATTTCTGTAATTATTTCAATGGCTCTGTAAATCAAAGGAAATAAAATATGTGAACAATTTACTAACACTGATTAAGGAATAAAATTATTTTTTAAAATTTTTCTTCCAAAACTTATGATTATATATACATGAATATATATACTCATCATTTTTTTTTATTTTTCCTCTATGAAACTATTCCTATATAACTCTTCAGTCTCATACATGTAATGGCTGTTATATTTTATCAGGAATATAAGAAGTATAAAATTCTTTTATCACCAAATTTCTTGAAATGTATTAAATTATATTTTGTAATTTTATAGCATTTGAAATATAACTTTTCTAATATGTACAAGTATATTTTTCCATATATATATATATATACATACATATATATATATATATATATATATATATATATATATACAGTATCTGGTTAGTAATTGTAATATATTTACTTTAGAAAAGAATGTATAATATTTAAAATTTTGTGTAGCTATTTTGTTCTTTTATGTTTCTATCCAAAAGCTAGTTTTATAATAAAATACCAAAGCAATTTCGGGAGTGATCTATAACTTACTTAGAGGCTTTCTCACCACTGATCATGGTAAATGGCAGTTTATATTTTTTTGCACTGTCACATGGTGGAAAAATTAGTAATCCTTTAAATTCCTTGCTCAAAGAATTTCAAATGTTCTAAAAATGAATTAACTGAAAGATATAACTTGGAGCTGATTTATTCAGGACTCAAATTTTAAATCCTAGAGAAAGGAAAAATTATTGTTCTGTTACTCATTTTAACATTGATTTCACAGAGGCAAACATTTTACCTCACAGGTCTTGAATGGAAGGAAAGAAGGAAGGGAGAGAGGGAGGGAGGGAAGGAAGAGAAAAACAAAATGAGGAAGGAAAGCTGTTGAAGAAAGGTGAATTTGTAACTGTTGTTTTTATTTTAACTTCATTGTTAATGGATCTTGCCTTAGTGCTGTTTGAAAAGTTCTATTGAGACTGTCATTCTTTTCCTAAAATTAAATCATGCTACAAAGAGGAAATTTTAGCCTAAAGAATTAAAATCTGAATTAATATTACAGAAAGTGCATCTACCAGCAATAGTAGGCTTAAAGCATATGGAGCAAAACTTCACCAGCACACACTCAAAGGCTTTAAACATCAATAAACTTGAGTTAAGAAACAAAGCAGTGGAATTAGCCAGGAATACCTGGGTTATGGGATTTTGGGTTAATAGAACTCCTGTAATTTAAGAGTAGATCCTGCAATATTTTCTAAAGGAGGGTAATGTCTATCACCTTAACACTAGTAGACTTAAGGGTCAAGTTTAGTTCTTTCCAGAAGTTAACAAGGATTTCCAGGGAAAATAAATCTACAAGTATCATCATATCCTCCATTTTTATTTGACATATAATATTTGTTCATGGAAATCATATCTGTTTATGAAGTATATAATGATAGTTTTATATAGTAATATAATGTATAAGAAATGATTAAAATGATGCATATGATTAGGATTGTTTACTT